TCTATATCAAAAGTAGTGGCGTGTACCGAGGTACCATGGGTCTTATTTGTTAGGTTGATTTTATATGCAAATTTTATACCCCTTACACTTATTATTTAGTCATGATTTTATATTAAATTGGTGAGTTTAATGTGTCTTGTGTGAGTTTTTGTAGAAAAGATGATTTGTGAATAAAGCAGGGAATTGGAAGCTTAAAATAGAGAAACAAAAAGAATTACCAAGTGGGGTGTGAACTGATGGGCTGAAGCAAAGAATGGAGCAATACATCATATAGGGAATTGGATCATTAAAGCAAGCCCAATACAATTAGGGGTGCAACCATGCGGTGATGTATTCTTTTCCCAAAAGAATTGGGTTTGAGACTATGCAATGCACGTGGATTAGGAGACTATAAAGAAGACAAGGAGGAGGCGTCAGAGGGGGATATTTTTGGAGAGCTCTACACTCAGCGCATGCACAGACTCAAACACAAAGATTGAGTTGAAGATTTATTCCATGTCATCGAGATCAACCATGTTTGTTATTAGTTTGATCATGAACTAAGTCCTCTTGCTAGGACTAGGGTGTACTCTTATCATGAGCATTTAATTCTTGTTATTTCCTATTAAATTCGGTCGTTGTTCATGTTGAGTAATTGTTATTGTGCTTTATCGATATCAAATAACTGGTCGTTATTTGTGTGAAGAGCTAAATTGTGACTGACAGGTTGAGTTTAGAAGTTCGCTTTTCATAACAATTACCATGAATTGCATAATTGAGTAGACATACTGGTTATGATTTGTGTAGTATTGTGTAATTATCCATTTAGCATAAAGGGTTTCAAATATCTATATCTGTTGCTAGACATAGCATGGGTAGATAGTTAGAAACACGGTTAGTATATTCTGAAAGGAAATATTGACGACTCAAGGGATAATTGCTAGTAACATGGGAATAATTGATTTTAATATGAATAACGGGAAGAGATGGGATTGAGAATGAGGAACCTGATGTCCTAGTGCTTCCATATATTAATCTTTCATAATTCATTCACTTTTAATTTGTGTTCTATCGATTGTTACTTTCACTTTCGTTCGGTTTATTTGCATAGTTGAGTGTGGCAACGTAACCCTTCTTCTATTTAAGTTTAGTTTGGAGTCAATCTCAATAGTAAATTTAGGTTAATCCGATCCTTGTTTGAACGACACTCTACTTACTACTTTATTACTTGGACGATATTGTACACTTGCAATTATCTACAACAGTTGTCAATTGTGGCTGATCTGAGATGCTCTCCCTCCTTGAAGAAACCAAAATGATCTGCAGCCCTCTGGCTTTCATCTCATTGAAGAGTTTGAGTGAGTTTTCCAGAGCAGGTGCCTTGCCCTGGCTCATCCATTCCTCCAGAGAAGTCAGGTTCAACTTCTCACCCCTATTTCCAATTTTTTTCAAAAAATAATTGTAACAAATTTGTTCAATCCTCCACAATGGGTTTATGTAAATCTCCACCATAAACATTTTATATGTGATCTGATTGCTTGTTTTGAATAACATATCAAAAGGCTTACCCGAAATGTTGCTTCTTATAGTAAGGCACAGTGGAAAGGAGCGTATCGTCGATGTCGAAAATCCATGCATCTATACCATCTTTCTCCTAATTGCAGCTGGTGCTCAGATACACAATAGCTTCCTCAATTGCCCTCTGAGTCCACCTTGTACTGAGTTGAAGTAACATATTTTCCAATGTAGCCGACGCATTCTTCGGGCACGACTTGGAACTCTCTGATGTTGTGCAGCTCGACATTCATCCTCCAACTCTCGCAGTAGTTTCTCAAGCTGATGCTCAGTCCATCTTTGGTTCTGTGACTCAAAATGTTCCATTCTGGCCCTGATACTACTACAGTAATAAAAAGACTCAAACAACCTAACAACACGCTTAGATTTCTGCTAATTGTTCTCCTCGCAAACAATGCCTTTGGTCCAAGACACAAAGAAGAGAGGGAGGTAGTAGAAGACGGTGGATTTCAATTAGGTCTTGTTAGAGAAATTGGAGCAATGGAACTAAGTTTTTTATGATCAAATTATGGATGGAAAATTGGATGGTGTTAAAGTCAGATGACAAATTATGGATTTTGAAAAATTAAGGTGACATTTCTCTTAAATTTTTCTTTAAGGTGACAAATTAAAACTGAGGTATAAGTTTAGGTGATATTTCAAAAAAATCCCTATGTGTTAAAGTTTGGTAGATGAAAGTCAAGCAAACCATAAAATAATCGCAGACAATACAGCACAAGGAGGGTGGCCAAGTGTAAGATGCCTATCAAACAAGATCTGTGCCGTTCTCATATTTAGCCACAACTTGCCCTTCGAAATCAGGTGTTGTTTGCATCACTTGCCACGCAAGATACTCAAGACTTTCTCATTTGCCATTGCTGTTTTCTTTTTCTCTCTCTACCTCACTCCCTTCCTCCACCGCTCTTTATAAAGGCGAAGTTGAGCTAGCCAGTCTTCTCTGTGCCTCCATATGCCATAGAGAGAGAAGGAAAAAAAATTCAAAATTCATATATCATGGCTGCTGTGATGGAGAGTGAAGCATTGGCAACAGAAGCTCCATATGCACCTGTCACTATTGAGAGGAAGGTCAGGGGTGACTTGGAAACCAAACTTCCTAAGCCATGTGAGTTCATTCATCTCTCTCTCTCTCTCTCTCTCTCTGTATAAACATTAGGGTTGTTTCTTCTTCTTCCACTATTCTCTAACATGATCTTCAAGAAAATTCCAAGTGATATCTATTTGGCAAGTTTGTTTTTAATGGAAGGATTAATTTATCATGGGGCACTATAATAATTTGACACATAGCTAGGATTATATGAATCAAATCATGTGGTTTATGACACTGTTTTTCTTTTCCCCTTAGTGAACCTCATCCATTCCTTGAGATAAATCTACATAATGAAAATTTCTTTAAACTAAAATTCAAAGTAACAAGATTGATTTTAGTTTCTACCTCTAGATTGAGCAACTCCCCAATTGAAGCCGAGCTACCTAATTGAAGTTGAAACATTCCTTGACAAATTAATGGCAACTATAACATGTTCAAGTGCACTAATATATTTTGTATTTTGTTTGAAAATATCCCAATTTCAGACATGCCAAGAGCATTGGTTGCTCCGGACACAAACCATCCGACAGGAACACCGGGCCATCAGCACCGCAACATGAGTGTTCTTCAGCAGCATGTAGCTTTTTTCGACCAGGACGACAATGGGATCGTCTACCCTTGGGAAACTTTTATTGGTAAATCTTAATGTGTGCCTGCTTTCTGGCTTCAACTTATTTGTTCAAGCTCAACAACCACCCTTTGTACTGAATTCATTAGGTTCTCATGTACTTTGTTCTTTTCCCTTTAATCAGGATTGCGAGCCGTTGGTTTCAATCTAATCGCTGCCGTTGTCATGTCTGTTCTTATCAATGGAGCTCTGAGTTATGCTACTCTGCCTGTAAGTTGTGTATTGTTTGCTACACTTCTTTATACCCCTGTGGTTAAATTTAAATGGTAGTTAATTAATTAGTAATAGGCATCCTAAGAAAATTTCGGTTTCACGGTATATGTCACTAATTCACCAGTAAATTACACTCATACTATTACATTTGGATTACTAACACCATGTGGCGATTAGTAACAAACAGTAATTTCTCTCAATCCATTAGATGCTAAGCAGAGTATTGTTAGAGATATCACATTCTGGACTACATGCCACATGATGTTCATGTTAATTAAAGTTGGATATAACTTGATGGAAGAAGAACATATTAACTGCTATATCATGTGCTTAGTTACTGCGGTTTCTTGTGTGCTTAGTTAGCTAATGCGATTTCTTGTTTAGCTGACCACGTTATGTGGAAGTTGGTGTGTGTCAAATTCTGATAAATGTGAGTGTAAATGTAGGACATAATGAAGTTGCATTTGTAATTCTCGGATTTCTCGTTTAGCTGACCACGTTATGTGGAAATTGGTGTGTCAAAGTCTGATAAATGTGAGTGTAAATGTAGGACATAATGAAGTTGCATTTGTAATTCTCTAATTTCCAATTTTTCACAGGGGTGGATTCCTTCTCCTTTCTTTCCCATATACATTGACAACATTCACAAATCAAAGCACGGTAGTGATTCTGGAACATATGACACAGAAGGAAGGTATGTAAATATAAATTAAACACGAAACCTTAACAATCTTTGATGTTGTGATGGGTCGAAATGAATCATTAGGACTCATCTGAAATCATTTTGCAGGTTTAGCCCAGTCAGCATTGAGAACATGTTTAGCAAGTATGCCCATACTGTGCCAGACAAGTTCACCCTGGGAGAGCTTTGGGACATGACCGAGGGGAACAGAGTTGCATTCGACTTCTTTGGATGGTAAACTTTTTCGGAGTCCCTAATACATTTCACTTAAAATTTCCTTGTCAACTAGCTTTGGTTCTTCACTTTGCCATCGCTTGAGTGTGATTTTGCAGGATCGCGACTAAGCTGGAATGGGGACTTCTGTATGTTCTTGCCAGAGATGAGGATGGTCTTCTGTCTAAAGAAGCCGTTAGGCGCTGCTTCGACGGAAGCTTATTCGAGTATTGTGCTAAGATTAATGCAGCTGGTATGGCTAAGATGGGCTAGAACAAAATACACTACTTGCAGTGGAAGCTATATGCACCAAAAGATATGATGTATATGTATGTATGTATAATGTTTGTATCTTAGTTTACGTTTGAGATGTTAAGAACTATAATAAATTGAAGGATGGCCCTTCAACGTGTTCGTTGGATTGGCTCATGGTCCTAAGTTCAAACCCTATGGTATCCATGTGTGTGAGTTTCACCAACCCCTTCCTAACTTTGGGAAAAAAATAAAAAAATGATGGGCCTTCACGGTTCTCGCATAAGGTTGACCAATGATGATCAATATTTCAGCTGGTTAACAACATTTCACATCAAATGGTTTTTTTTTTTTCATATAAAATGCTTCATTTCAAGGCAATTGAATTGGATGAACAATTTCAAATAAAGGAATGAAAAGTAAAATATTGGGTTTTGTTCAAGAAACATAGTACAATGGGTTTGGAAGTTTGAATGTTCTTTTGGCCCTTGGAAGCCCCTCAATACTGCTATATTGATCTCCTACAATGCCCCAAATGCTGTAGCCTTCACCAATCAACTGTTTTCTCACTTCAGTCTTGTAATTTTGCACCCCCATCAATTCATCATCAGGACCCCTACAACCCCAAATGCAATTTTCCAAATATTCAAGTGAAACAAATTAATTAATTAATGAGAGAGAGAGAGAGAGAGAGAGAGAGAGAGAGAGAGACCTCAATATGAGACTTGTCCATCCATAGTAGCCAACATTAACAAGGTTGTCAATTGTGGCTGATCTGAGATGCTCCCTCCTTGAAGAAACCAAAATGATCTGCAGCCCTCTGGCTTTCATCTCATTGAAGAGTTTGAGTGAGTTTTCCAGAGCAGGTGCCTTGCCCTGGCTCATCCATTCCTCCAGAGAAGTCAGGTTCAACTTCTCACCCCTATTTCCAATTTTTTTCAAAAAATAATTGCAACAATTATGTTCAATGCTCCACAATGGGTTATGTAAATCTCCACCATAAACATTTTATATGTGATCTGATTGCTTGTTTTGAATAACATATCAAAAGGCTTACCCAAAATGTTGCTTCTTGTAGTAAGGCACAGTGGAAAGGAGCGTATCGTCGATGTCGAAAATCCATGCATCTTTACCATCTTTCTCCAAATTGCAGCTGGTGCTCAGATACACAATAGCTTCCTTAATTGCCCTCTCTGAGTCCACCTTGTACTGAGTTGAAGTAACATATTTTCCAATGTAGCCGACGCATTCTTCAGGCACGACTTGGAACTCTCTGATATTGTGCAGCTCGACATTCATCCTCCAACTCTCGCAGTAGTTTCTCAAGCTGATGCTCAGTCCATCTTTGGTTCTGTGACTCAAAATGTTCCATTCTGGCCCTGCTACTGCTACAGAAATAAAAAGACTCAAACAACCTAACAACTCGCTTAGATTTCGGCTCATTGTTCTCCTCGCAAACAATGCCTTTGGTCTATGACACAAAGAAGAGAGGGAGGTAGTAGAAGATGGTGCATTTCAAGTAGGTCTTATTAGAGAAATTGGAGCAATGGAACTAAGTTGTTTTATGATCAATTCGCATACTGGCCAGGGAGGAAAATGCCTGATGATCAATTTTGCTAGGACATTACTATTTCGTCGCCACATACATTATTGCGATTTCTTTGCCACATACTAGCCAGGGTGGCAAAACCAGATGCAACGACTTGCTTTTGGACTTTTGTTAATGTTTTCTTTGGCAGGATTTGTGTACTTTACGACAAACGACTTATAAATTATTCAACAATGCCTCACCAAATCAGGACAGTAAAAGTAGGAACGCATCATTTATAGGGAAGAGATTTTGATTGCCAAGTGAAATTTTAAGGGAAGAAATTTTGATTGCCAGGTGAATTTGGAAGGCAAAAAGAACGGTTGGAAACTGAAACTTAGTGAATCAACATGGATATCTTCAAGGGGCACATAGCAATTTCTAAATTCTGAAAATAAAACATGATAGTAATATCTAGATCCAAACAAAATCCGCTGCAGTTTGCACAACACCACAATAACAAGAAACAAAAATTTAGTCAAATTCCAGGAGCGACCTGCTTCTAATATGAAAAACAAGGATAACACATATAAGTTCAGTCCTATGCATAGAGCTCAGAGAAAGTAACACTCAGACGATGGCGTTAGCAGCACTTGCAATCCTTGGCCAAAGATCAGCACACTCCTTTCCGATTGGACCAGTAATGGCAGAACCTAAACAAACAGAGAGCAGCCAATTAGTTCAGCTGACCCAACAACTTATTATAACGAAAAAGAATTACGAAAATGTTGCATAACCCTCAACTAGGAAATAAAAGCTGTACCTTTCATTTCTCCCTTTGGATTGACAATAACACCAGCATTATCTGCAAATTAAAAAAAGGGATAGGTAAGATACCGTGACAAACAATGAAATGCGAGCAATAAAGAATATGGAGTGCCAGTCCATAAAAATGCTCAGCAGCCTACCAATTACAAAGAAACCAATTCATCTGGAACTTTTACCAGGATTTTAAAAAAAAACAAAGATAGAATGTTAACAAAAATCAAAATGTAAATCGAATAAACAAGATGCACATTCACTTCAATATGTAGGGACCAGATGTAACAGATGTGAGCATGTAAAGCAAAGGTACACCTGTAACGATGGGCACTATCAATTTTCCAGACTTGTAACAGCATCAACCACAAGAAAAAGAGGACACTTGACTTCTGTCTGGTTTCGATATAGCTAGTTCTATCTTACTATGGGAACTAAAATGTAAATCGAATAAACAAGATGCACATTCACTTTAATATGTAGGGACCAGATGTAACAGATGTGAGCATGTAAAGCAAAGGTACACCTGTAACGATGGGCACTATCGATTTTCCAGACTTGTAACAGCATCAACCACAAGAAAAAGAGGACACTTGACTTCTGTCTGGTTACGATATAGCTAGTTCTATCTTACTATGGGAAGTAAATAAAACGGTAGAAGCACCAAACATAACAAAATGTAGAGATTAATCAATAACAAATACAAGTCAAATAATACAAACACGATCCCAATTCAATGCCAAAACAAATATGTAGTGACCAAATGGAGCAGATGTGAGCATAAATGCAAGCACGCCTGTAACGATGGGCACTATTGATTTTCCAGACGTGTAACAGCATCAACTACCAGATAAAGAGGACACTTGACTTCTGTCTGGTTATCAGACACATTTTCTGACAGGATGACTACAGGAGATCTAGATAGAGGGGTACAGCAGTTCAGGTAAGAAAGGCAATCAAAGATTGCACGGTATGAAAGGTGTAGCGAAACTGAGAGAGAATAACTCTAGATTACACATGCAACACAAAGAATATGCAAATTATTGGATAATACTGGGGAAACATATCAACAGTAGCAGAAAATGACACAGGTGAAGGACATGTATCGAATGGCGAAAGAGAAGATTCCATACAGAAGAGAACCCACTCGAATATTATTCGACAGGTTGGTTCCATTAATGTAGCTGGTTTCAGAAAGCATCAAATCATAATACACACATAAATCCAACAATGGAGTTACGTGCACATCATGACCCTGCTTAACCAGCATCCTTTTTTTCTCATGCTGTTTCAATCACCAAAATTACAATCAACAAGCAAAGATTTCAGATAGAAAATAAATATAGCATTTATCAAATAAAATTTAAAAAAAAAAAGAATTAGCCAAACCCACCTCCATTTTTAAGGGGAAACCAACAATATGAACACAATAAACTCAACATCACAGCAGACTTTTGTGTATAATGCGAACTTAATGATGCAGTGCATACCAAAGAGACCTATCCTATCATACAATTAGACTGCACTACCAATTAGTAATAATCAGAGAAATTCAACAAAAATAATATTGACCTTCAAAGTACATGAAGACCCCATCCTTTCGGCGCCATGGCTTGCGCTGCCTCACAATGACTGCAGGCAGGACCTTCTTCCTGAGGTCAGGCTTCCCCTTCTTGACAGTGGCCATAACCATGTCACCAACACAAGCAGATGGCAATCTGTTCAGACGACCCTTGATACCCTTGACGGATATGATGTAAAGGTTCTTAGCACCGGTGTTGTCGGCACAGTTCACTGTGGCTGCCACTGGAAGACCCAGTGACATCCTAAACTTGTTACCAGCGGATCCTCCACGCCCTAAACCAGAAGATCAACATCAGAATCATATGATACTATATACCAAAAAAACAGGGCAATTTAATTTCTTTTGGAAAAACAAAACAGCATAGATCGATACATCTGCGGAGTATCAACGATTGAAAAACATAATTTCTAGGGTTCTACAAAGGTTTCTTATCAACCAAACAAACCCACATCGCAATCCTTAGAAATACACGATTCACTGAAATATGATAAGGATTTTCGTATCACATTTCTGATTGGTAAAAACGGAATTCAACATAGAAAAAGCTGAATCAAATCAATGAACACTAAAACCCTTTCTTTTTTTTTCCCTACGATAGCTCCGTAGCCAAATAAATCAAAAAAACCAAAGCTAATTTAACACAGAATAAACAATACTAATAATCTAAGGTGTTGATTAACATGCTTGGGGTACATTTTCATGAGAAACAAACAGAAAATTAAGCAGAAACATAGGCAAAGATGAAACAACGGAAGATAGCTAAGGAGGCGAGCTGACCTCGCTTCGACATTTCGGCTGCTGCTGAAACGAGACTGAGAGAGCGACTAGGGTTTTGGACTTGTATATATAGAGGGCCGCGTAGGGTTTTCAGCCAGGTTACAATTCCGAAAATTACAATTCACTCCAAATTCTTCGATGAAAATACCGAGTAAGTCCTGGGCCTTTTAAAAGAGTGTGACCTCGCTTAGTAATGGGCCTTGGGTTTGTCCTTGATCTGTAGTCTCTAGAGTGGGGGCCCACCATTCTTTTTTATTTTTGGTTTGGCAGAGGCCTATTCTAATTTTTCACCAGGAAAGCAGTAAAACCAAACAAATTATTACTGATGCTTCACTATTAATTCGACAACTGTACAGACGTGAACTAAGCCAGGTTTTTTTTTTTTTTTTTTCCAGATGAGGGAAGTGAGCCCCACCATTTGCGTCCAAGTTTGAGTTCATCTCCACGTAAAGTAGATTAATTTAGTGTAGGTTAGACTATCGCTTGTATTAAAAAAAATAATTAGAAGAAACATATATGAGGAGAACGCGGGATAATCACTTGACTTCAAGCGGTTATCTTTCTTGAAAAAAAAATTTATGTTTAATATACTTATTTATGGAAGACGCACAGATTTTTGTGAAGACGAGTGACAAAATTAGCTTCCATTTCCTCGTGTGGTCAACAACACATTGATAACATAACAGAGAAATCACACATACGGAGAAAAAAACTACATAGAGAAAGAGGAAGAAGATGAATATTCTAATTTCTGTATATTAAGAATGTTTACATCATAATACAATAGTATATTTATATAATACTTGCTTAGAGATTAAGCCATCTAACAAACTAACAATCGCCCCTGAACAGTTTTCTAACAAGTTTAACAGCTATCACGTGACAACCATGTGAAAACTGCTGACTATACATACACAGTCGTTATTCCCCCTCAAACCTAGCTGGGGTGCGCAACTTGAGAGAGATACAATGCTTGACAAAGATTGAACCATGTAGCCCTTTAGTGAAGACATCTGCGATTTGGTCTTCAGTTGGTATATAATGAACCAGTAAATCTCCTTTTTGAACTCTTTTTCTAACAAAGTGATAGTTGACATCCAAGTGTTTTATTCTTGAATGGTACACAGGATTAGAGCTCAATGCAAGAGCTGATAAATTGTCACAATGAAGTATATATCAGCTGAAGTATGAGCTAATGCTCGATATTCAGCTGTTGTGGAACTTCGAGAAACAGATGGTTGCTTCTTTGACTGCCATGAAATTGGATTAGGACCTAGAAACACCACAAATCCTGTAGTTGATCTTCTTGTATTAACATATCCAGCCCAGTCTGCATCACTGTAAGCAGTCAACTGCCAAGGACCATTAGTAAACTTAAGTCCATAATCCAACGCAAGTCTGAAGGAGTAGTCATGTACTGACATACACTACTAACCGCATATGATAAATTTGGTCGAGTAAAAGTCGGATATTGTAACACTCCAACGATACTTCTGTACAGAGAAGGATCTGATAAAGAAACACCTTCGGATTTCAATACTTGACTGTGTGGCTTACAAGGAGTAGAGCAAGGTCTGTAAGTAGTCATTCCCGCTTTTTGAAGAAGATCTTGAGCATACTTCTGTTGACTAACAAATATACAGCCATTTGTATTATAAGCAATTTGTAAACCTAGAAAGTATGTCAACTGACCCATGTCTTTCATTTCAAAAACAGCACTAAGATCATCAATTACCTCTTGAATACAATTAGAAGCAGAACTGGGGAGGATGATATCATCAACATACAATAAAAGAATCACAATATCTAATCTAATATGCTTAACAAACAAGCTCGAGTCAGAATGAGAGGATTTAACAAACAAGCTCGAGTCAGAATGAGAGGATTTAAAACCAATAGTTGGTAGATATCCTGTGAACTTGGCATTCCAAGCTCTTGGAGCTTGCTTAAGACCATAAAGAGACTTCTTCAATG